GAATCTTACTTTGCCTCTTTCCCAATGGCCATATTGGGGCACAGGCTCCTGACTTTCTCCAATTTTTCTGATCCCTCCCACTGTAGAAAGGGGTGGGGCCAATGCTGTCCTGCAACCTTTTTTCCATGCTCTAAAGTCCTTCCTCAGAGAGGGAGTGAAGGGAGAACACCACCATGCCTGTCCAGCCCAGCTTTTACCTTCACTGGGGTATCTGAGGTCTCCATCAAAGAAATTTTGTCACTGGAAGAGCAATAGTGCTTTTTAGTGACCCCTGCTTGGGAACTGGAGCAGCTATTTGGCAACCTGATGACCACAGGGAGCCCTGTGGTCTTCTAGGGCATGTTTATAAGACAGAAGAGAAAACTCCCAGGACTTGAAAATAACTGAGCGCTGTCTGCTTGTGGGGATCCCTAGGGGCACAAACGACACCATGGAAGATGTCAGTCTTAAACTGGAACCCACAGGGACACAAGCTATGGTTTTCTAGTCATCATCCGTTGACGGCAAGGTGTGCAGAAGAGAAAATGAGCTGGGAAGTAAACGGCTAAGAAGGTGGGGTCTGAGAGCAGGATTTGGCTTCTGGACAATGGCTCAAAATATAAAGGAGATGAATCCCTGGCTCCAGATGGAGTCTACCCCAAAAGGGGAGGCCTTTGGTGTGAAGGTGTCTTAGAAATCGACCAGAAACTAAAAAGGACAGAGAAGACAGATTGAATCCCCCAAGAGGAAGCCATGGAGAGTACATGGGAGAGTGGAAAGCAAAAGAACAAGAAAGGAGCTGGTAGCCTTCCCTCAAGGATCTCTGCATGAATGGCCACAGCTTAAGCCACAAGCAAGAGGATCCCCTCACAGTTATCACTGAGTCTTGGGGGGGGGGTGGCCATCACAGGCATACCTCATTCCCAAGGAGCAGGATCCTGAAAAGGGGGTGAGGTAGTATGCTCATGTCAGGAAATCCAGGACCCAGAGCGTGGTGGAGAAGGTTAGGTGAAAGGTAATAGAGGGAGACACAGAAGGGATTTTGTCATTGGAGAAGGAGCTAGATGAGGAGTTTGGGTAACCAATCCCAAGTTTAGCTAAGAGGCAAAATGTGGCACAGATGGGTGACTTCAGTTATCTAGGCATTGACTGGAGCGCGCTCTCTGTGTGTCTCCTTTCGCTCTCTCCCTCCCTCGGTGTAATGTCTCTGTCTCTGTCTCTCCCTCCCAAAAGCAAATCAGCTAATAACTTCTTGACTTACCTTGGAGATACTGAATCCGAAGAAGACAAAACTGATGGGGGCACTTCAATTCAATAAACATTTATTAAGCACCTACTATGTGCCAGACCCTGAGCTAATTTCTGGAGGTATTAATGGTAAGGAAGACAGTCTCTGCCCTCTAGGAGCTTACAATCTAATGGCGGGGGGAGGGGGGTGGGGGGGTGGGAGGCGATACACCCAAAGAAGCTGAAAGAGGGCTCCCACCAAAGGGCCCTGAGCCAGTGACACGGAGCAGAACTTCGCTTCTGGAACGCGCGGTGACCTGTAGCCCTCTGAGCTCTCAATCAAGACAGGTCTTCGGAGAAGCTTACTGCCCTACCCTCCAGGCCCCCAGGCCCCCAGGCCCCCAGACCCCCAGGCCTCCAGTGCCGAGTGGGCTTGCACGGTGGCGTGAGATCTGGGGTGATGGGTGATCATAGCCCAGGGGAGGTAGGACACCAAGTAGAGCCACGAAAGGAAGATGAAGGCAGAGCTCCCCTGAAAGAGGAAGTAACTTGTTCTGTTTAGTCCAAGAGGGACAGGGCAGGGGCCGTGCTGTTAAATATTTAACAACTGGCTCTCCGGAAGAAAAAATGTGCAAAAACATGCTTGAACGTTTGATCGGCAATACTGACATCTTATCCACCACCTTCCCAAGTCTGGACAATCAACAAAAGAATCTGTACCTTTGCTGATCTCAACTTGGGCTCTCTCAGGCTGGCTCGAGCTGGCTCCAGCACACCCTGGGTTGGGGATGTGATGCGGCTGCCGCCACTGGACGTCAGAAGAAGCCCCCCAAGGGGCAGGCACTGCCTCAGAAGGGGGTCGTTCTCCCGACCCCCATCCCCCGTGGAGTTTTTCGGGCTGAGGCTGAACATACACTCGTTGGGACGGCTGTGTAAGGGAGTCCCTCCAAGATACGGAAGGGCTGCTTGACCCCTGAGGGTCCATCTAACACTCCCACTGGACCGCCGCGAGCCAGCGCTCTCACTGTCGCTGTTTTACAGCTTAAGGGACCTGCCCAGCCCGCAAGGCAGACGGCGTTGGAAGCGCTGTTTGAACCCCCGTGTGGCTGACTCCCAGTCTGGAAGCACAACACCATGGCCATTCCCATCCCTAAAATTAGGTCAGTGAAAAGCCCCACCCTTTTCTAATGGCGGACCCCATTTGGTTCAGGCTCTGCGGCTCCCGTGACACCCGCGGTTGGAAGTGGGATGCCCTGATGCCCCCTGCACCCCCCTTCCTCTCTTAGCCAGGCGACCTCTCCACGTGCTGAGCCTTGCACCGACAGACGCAGAGGAAGCCCGTGGTGAGTTCACGGTCCAGCGCTGCCTCGCCCCAGGCAGGCCACTGCCTTTTTCTGGACTCAGTTTCTTCCTCTACAAAACTGGGGCAGATGTCTCTAGTCTCTGCCCAGCTGCATGAATCCGTCACTGGGCAGGAGTTAGGAATCAGAGCGGGAGAATATTAAGAAGGGAGGTGACAGCTTTGGTTTGTGTTGGGTCCGATTGTGGTAAACCACAGGGTGGGGCGCAGGGTTCCAAAACGGTAACCCGACCTTGAAGAGGCTCTGAGGCCGATGAGAATGAATAAGACCTGGGGAGCCACTGGAATGATGGGATCAGGAAGGACTTAGAAGAAAGTCAAGAGGGTCGGAAGCAGCGACAAGGACCAAGACTGGGGCTGAGGCCCTTCCTAGTGGCCTGGTGAAGTCCAGAAGAACGGGGAGGGCAACACGCATTTATCGAGCACCTATTGTTTTTCAAAGCAGAAGTTGTGACCTCCCCATTGAAGTGTGAAAATTCTCCTTAGGGAGACAAGACTGGGTGGGACACACTGAAAACAGCAGCAGAGGCCACAACGGAATTCTTCTGTTCATTTGAACTGGCTAAGGCAGGTGCACCCACTCCTGCGTCCCCAAACAGGGCAGCAGCTCCTTGATCAAAGGTCTCCCTGCTCCTTTGCGCTACTTCACTGCTGGGAATGAAGGAGCAGCAGGGAGCCTGGCACAATGGAGTCCCAAGGGACCCCAGTGAGCAGGGCCAGGGCTTCCCAACCTCATCCAGATGCCCCAGGGCTGCAAGAGGCTTTCCAAGGGGGCGCAGCAACATCAGTAAAGAGCTACAGCATCCTACTGACATTAGCTTATCTCTTCTATTTCTTACATAGACTTGCATGGTCAGCTCTAGAGATTCCCTTTCATACTGAGCAGGGCATATGGGCAGCCTCAGGGAAACCCGGTGGGGCCTGGGGACTGAGATAGGCTGGAAACCCTTGGCCTGGTCTAACCCACAAATGACTAAGACTTCCCGCCAACATCCCTAACAGAGGGAATGTCTCTGACCTGTGTCCTCCAGTGAGGAGATGTTGGGGAACCAAGGAGAAGATACTTGTAAGGCTGAGCACGGTGCCTTGGCACGTAGTAGGTGCTTAAGAACCGTGTTCCCTTCCCTTCCCAGTCCCTAGGCATCCCCTCCCCTTTCAGGATGCCTCTCGGTGATGTCTTTGATCAGCTCTCCTACCTAGCTGACTGGTCAGCTTGCTGGATCTTCATTCTGGTCATTGCCCCCTAAAAGCCAACAGCCCCCAGGGCTGGCTGCTGGGCCCTCTCCTCTTCCTTTGCACCATTTCACTGGCTGACCTCATCAGCTCCCGTGGATTCACCACCATCTCTCTGCTGATGCTTCTTCAGTCTGCTTACCCAGCCCGAACTCTCTGTTGTTGGACAGGATGTCCCATAGACATCTTACACTCAGTGTGGCCAGAACAGAACTCATTCCTCCCAAGCTCTCTCCTCTTCTGAACTTCCCCATCACTGTTGAGACCACCATAACCTGTCCTCCAGGCTCACAACCTAGGACTCAGCCTGGACTCCTCACTCTCTCTCTCACCCTCTAGATCCAAGATGGTGCCAAGGCCTGTTGACTTTACCTTTGTTGCATCTTCTGAATATGCCCCCTTCTCTCCTCTGACACAGCCCCGACCCTGGTGCAGGCCCTCATCCCCTCACGCCTGGCCTGTTGAAGCAGCTGCTGGGGGGTCTGCGTGTCTCAGGTCTCTCCCCACTCCTGTCCTTTCTCCATTCATCCACTAAACTGATTTTCCTAAAACACAGGCTTGACCATGCCCCTCCCTGCTCAGTCAGCCCCTGTGACTCAAGAAGCTTTCATCCTCCCTTTCCCCGATTCTCATACCTCACTCCCTGCCCCCACATCCTCTTGGACCCAGTGCCCCAGCCTCATCTCTCAGCTCCAGGCACTCCCTCTGGCTGTCTCCCAGGCCTGGAGGGTTCTCCCTCCTCATCTCCCCTCCTGGCATGTTCTCCAGGAAGTCTTCCCCAGTCCTGCTTAATTCTAGTGTCTTTCGTCCAATGTCTGCCCCCCCATTTATCCTGTCTAGAGCTTGTTTGTACCACTGTCTTCCCCACTGGACTGAGGGCCTCCGCCTCCTCCTCATCCTCCTTTGGAGGGTCCGCCTTTCTATCTTGAGGGCTTAGCTCAGGGCCTGGTGCTTAGTAGGGGCTTAATAAATATTTGTGGGCCAACTGAGTGGCACCCTGTGAAGGGAATACTTGGCAATTAAGAGTCACAGAACAGATCTTGCCCTGGGAAAATCCAGCTGAGTCTGTTGCCCCCAGGGACACACAAGGATCCGTGGTGGCCTCCCACGTGGTTGGGATGCTACCAGGTAGAGCAGAGAGAGCCCAACGTGCCTGGCTTCCCTTGGCAGCGCGGCAAAGTTTCAGTCAGGGAATTCTTACCTTGGTGCTCCACAGTTTGACTGTCCAGTCGAATGACGAGGTGACGAAGAGGTGGGAAAAGTCAATGGGGCCCACAGCCATGTGGCAGTTGATTCCTGTCACTGGCCCTTGGTGTCCTTCGAAGACCTCCCCAATGCCAGCTTTGCTGCAGGGAGACCACAGGACACAAACTCAGCAAATGTCTTTAAAACCCAGATTTCCTTTGCAGTCAGACTTGTGTCTCCCCCTCAAAGCTGACCCCTGCCCTGTAGGTCAAAACACCTGCTTCCTCCCCTCCATGCTGGGCAAGATCTGGGAATGAGGTCTAGACAGAGAATGGCAGAGAGAAGGAGCAGTGGGTGCTGTTTAGTGAAGGGGCCTGGAGCATGGAAGAAGGAAGAAAGGGAAGGAGGAAGACAGGAAGGGAGGAAGAGGAGGGAGGAAGGGAGGAAGGAAGGAAAGGAGGGAAGGAGGAAGAAAGGAGGGAAAAGAGAGAGAGGAAGGAAGGAAGGAAGAAAAGAAAAATAGCAGCCTTTTCCTCTTAAAGAGAATGAGTTCATTTGGAAGCTGGCCAGGCACTAATTAAATGCCACCTATTGATAGAGCTCCAGGCACTCTGGCATTGATTCCAACCATCTCCTCTCCTGCCATCACATGTAATTAGAAGGAGCCTCAGAATGATGCCAAGAATAAGGCATCTCAAAACTCGATGTGCAGATCGTCCTGAACATGGCTTCCTTCCTACATCACTATTCAGAGGAGGGCTGCAGGCAGGTATTCAGGTGGGCATGGAGGCCACGCCCAGACAGTGCCAGGACCTGGGAACAGCGGCTCAGCCCAGCGTCACTTCCATTCTGTTTAATGAACATGAGGAATTGATCTCAGAGGTGACCCCTGGAGAAATGAGCCTTGCTCCTTCCAGGCCTGAAAAGATTTATAGGAAACAGGATCAAGAGCTCATTTAATTTATGGAGGGGGATTTGCACCGTCCCCACTGTAGGTGAAAAGGCGCTGTGCCAGGGCCCCAGCGGGGACTTACTTAAAAAGGACAGAACGGATCCTTCCCCAGGCAGCCAGTATTTGCCAGGGCTGGGAAGGCTGCCATGGGGAGGTGGGGGCTGGGATGAGGTTAACCAGGGCTGTCTGGAGCCCCTCTCCCTGCTGCTTTCCTCCCTCTCTCCTTTTTCTTCCCTCTTTTCCTCACTTTCAGTGCAGACCTAGCAAACGTTCTGGAAAAAGAAACAAGGGGGACCTTCTTTTTTCAAAGCCCAGATTAGCTTGGAGACTCTGACCATTCTGTGGTCCATTCATGGCCATTCAGTTCCCGAGTGGCTCAGCTCTCGTGGGCCTGTGGGCATGAGGCCCCAGGGGTCAGGGTGCTGTTTCTGATGCCGGAGTCTCGGCCTGGTATCTCCTTCGTGGGAGATCTGTGCAGACTCAGCCCCAGACTATTAGGGCAATGGGGCAAATCCCACCTGGTGCCACAGGCTGGAGGCTAGTGCAGAGAGCTGAGTCTGGAGTCAGGAAGCCCTGTGTTCAAATCCAGTCTCAGATGCTGACTAGTCTGCCTCAGTTTCCCCATCTGTAAAATGGGGATGATAATGACACCCCCTCCCAAGACTGCTGTGAAGATCAAAGGAGATCAGATTTGTAAAGTGCTTAGTTAGCTTAGCGCTAATAATGCTCGATTCCTTCCTTTCCCTTTCCCATTGAAGGTTTGGGTTGGGATATTTATCGCTGGACGATCCTCCATGAAAGTTCTGAGGGGGACTGAGCGCTGAGCAGTGAGTGCTGTGGCCTGCATCCTCACCACCCTATCCTGGGGGCCGGATTTCCCGGCGTCCTCCTCCGGTGACCTGGTGACTCACTGCAGGGTGTCTGTGACTGCTCCTTCCCCAGCCCCTCCCAGCAGCGCTGGCACCCCGGGGGTCAAGAGGAGGGCCACAGAGACGAGGTGAGAAGGACCCTCGAGTGGTCTGGGTGCTGTGCGGGTTGCTGGCCTCCAGGGGCTTCCACTCCATCTCCCTTCTCACTCAATCACCAACCAGAGGTGGGGATGATGCTTGTGTGTGGGAGGCCCCAGCCCCAAGGTCAGTGTGGGAGCTTAGCTGGGCTCACTCCTGGTGACTGAGTTCTCCTCCACTGAGGTCTCTGCAGCTTCCCCCCCACACACACAGCAGGGGTCCGCTGTGCTGGGCTCCTCCACCCTCCCTCACTCACACTTCCCAGACATCTTCCCAGGTGCCTTAGGTTTCCACCGGCCTGGAACTTACCAGTGAAAACCAGCCCAGGCACATGATGGGATTTACATGCCTTTCCAAGGAGGATCTTGAGAGCTAAGTGGCTCCCTAGCCCAACCTAATCCGGCTCCATTCTCCTTTTCTGAAATGCTTCAGAAAGACCTTCTAGAGACCGGGTGTCCACAGCTGGCTCTGCCTCAGAACACTCAATTATTGGAATGAGCGACAAAGAGAAAGTCACCTTCCGTGGCGGCAGGCTGTGTAGACCGTCCCCTCCTCGCTGCCCACCACGAAGTTGTTGACGTCCCCTGTTGGGAAGGCCATCCCCGTGACAGCCACAGGTTTTGATTTGTTGTACACCAGCTCCATGCTCTCCTGTCAAAACAGACAGTCGTCACACCTCCTGTCTGTCTACTGGCCAAGCGGGCACCCACCCCCTCCTGCTCCTCGCCCTTCACTCCCCCGAGTTCAAGGAAGCCACAGACTTACCCTGGAACTGCCCTCACAGCCATGCCCTCTTTTCCTACTAAGGGAATCTCACTTGTCACAGACCCAGTGCCCTCCTTTTACAGAGGGGGAAACTGAGGCCCAAAGAAGGGAAGCTATCCAGCTATCAGCCACAGCAACACATGGAAAGTGTGCTCACCAATGCTGCCACAAGGGGTGCTGTCCCCCTTCATGTAGTGATCTGCTGCCCAAGTGTGTGTGTGTGTGTGTGTGTGTGTGTGTGTGTGTGTGGTGTGGGTGTGGTGTGTATGGGTGTGGTGTGTGTGTGTATGTGGTGTGTGTGTATGTGGTGTGTGTGTGTAGTATGTGTGTGTGCGGTGTGTATGTGTGTGTGTGGTGTGTGTGTGTGGTATGTGGGTGTGTGGTGTGAGGGTGTGGGTGTGTGGTATGTGTGTGGGTGTGTGGTATGTGGGTGTATGTGGTGTGTGTGTGTGTGGTGTGTGTGGTATGTGTGTGTATGTGGGGTGTGTGTGTGTGGTGTATATGTGTGTGTGTATGGTGTGTGGTGTGTGTGTATGGTGTGTGTGTAGTATGTGTATGTGTGGTGTGTATGTGTGTGTGTGGTGTGTGTGTGTGTGTGGTATGTGGGTGTGCAGTGGGTGGGTGTGGGTGTGTGGTATGTGGGTGTGCGGTGTGTGGGTGTGTGTGGGTGTGGGGAGGGGGTGGGGAGGGAGCAGTCACAGGTACCCCACAGTGATCTCCATCTGTGAGGCTGGACTGCCCTCACTTCACCCTCTCTCCAAGAGGATCAACCTATTACATTGCTATATTAATGACTATTTACATCACATTACCGTACATCATTACCACTGATACATTTGTGACCATCAGTAAGTCACTGCTAGAGGAAAGCAAGGTGATCTGGGGTCTCCAGGAGGAGGAGGCTGGGAGATGGCCGGGCTGCAGCCTGGCTTACCTGCCTTCCCTTCCTTCTGCCCACCCCTTCTAGGGAGCTTCCTGTTGTGCTGGTCGGCCTGTCCGTCTTCCTGTCCCAGGGTCACGCTGCCTCAGGGCCAGAGCACTCACCTGCGGTGTGGAGAGCATGTCCAGGCTCCAAGAGCACAGCTTGCCATCCGTGGAGACGGTGATGAGGTTGTGAGCGTTCTGGGTGCCCACCACATTGACGCAGTAGACGGGGTGCTGTGGGCACAGAGACAGCAGGTGACAGGCAGGGCACCCCACAAAAGCCTGGGGAGGGTGCTCCCCATCTGGCTCCACCAGGGGTGCGAGATGGTAGATGGTTCCGATGCCCAGCCCCTCCCTAGTGAAGGTTCAAGCCCGGCTGCCAGCAGGGCAGGCCATAACCAGGACGGGTGATTTGGGCTCTGCACCAAGGCACAGAAATCCATCGGGGTGCTGTCCTACTACCGGTCCTTCAGCAGAACCAGGAAAGATCCCAACAAGAGCTAAGCTGAGCACTGTGTTAGAGTGGCAAGTTAACACGGGGCTGCTGCGCAGTGCTACCTCCTGAGTCCAGCATCACAGAGAGGAGGAGACTTCAGGAGACAGCCAGTCCAAGCCATTCTCCAAGGGAATCCCCTCTAACCATCCGTGACTCACTCTAACCATCGAGAGATGATTCGTCCCACTTCTGCCTGGAGACTGCCCGGGAGGGGGGAGGGGGGGAGGCTTTCCAGGGGCCAGATTCTAGGGCTCCTGAGCCTCCGGGGATCTCTGCCTGGTCCTAGATGGTGGATGTTTGTGATTCACAGAAACACTGGACACTCCTGGAGGGGGACTCCTAAACAGGCCCACGCAGGATGTGTGGGCATGGCAGGAAGAGCCTCTCAGACTTGCAGCCTGGAGATGCCCCAACCGCCTCTCACCCAAACCCTGCCAGGCTGAAGGATGCCTGTTAAAACACCCTGGAAAAGTGGTCTGGTCTGAGGGAGCCTGGAAGGGAGGAGAGGAGATCAGCCTGAGCATCGGAGACGGGCATTTACTGCGGGTGCAACCTCGGCTCCCTGGCCTCCGCTTCCTCTTCTATGCAATGGGGGCATGGGCTGCATACTAGCTCTCGGACAGAGTCACTCATCCTCTCCTTGATGACCTGCCTTCACAGGGAGCTCAGCACCCCTTGAGGCAGTCCCTAGCACATCTCAACAGCTCTCATTGTAAGAAAGTGTTTCCTGACGAGCCTAAGCTGACCCAAGGGAGTCCCTCTTCCACAGGGCAAGCCTTCAGATACCTGACGACAGCTGGGGGAGCCCCCTGAGTCCCCTCCCTGGGCCACGTGGCCAAGAAGGCCTGTTTCTTCCCCAGCCCCCACAAGGGGTCATCCAGATTTGTCTGGACGCCTATGTAGCTTCCCTGTCTGAGGCCCGTGTATCCAGGAAAGCCAGGGCACAATGGAATGAAATGGGGGAGACCAATTTCCAATTGCCTGAGCCTCCTTTCCCTGCCAGGGATCGAAGGCCCCTGTCAGGTATCATTACTTTTGACTTGGGATTTGTCATTCCTCATTGCCCATCACCCTGATGTGGGCCAACTCCCCTGTTCCCTGATTTGATGCAATTAGGCCCCCTGGAAGCAGCTGCGCTCCCAGGACGGCCCAGGAAGAGTCTGAGCCCCACAGATGAAACAAATCGGGCCGCCCCGTGCAGGAAATTGGAAACAATGGTACGGCTGTATTCTGGGGCATAATTTGGGCATTACGGAGAGAGAGCATCATTTATCCTGAATGTCAAGAGAGCAGGGATGGAGAGAGACATGCCCCCCTAATTGCCACACACACCTGTCATTCTCCCCAGTAAATGCTTGAGTGCCTGTCCAATTAGCAACAGCCTGAGACTGTTCAACTAAATTACGGGAAATAGTTTGGAGATGTTGACTTCTAACCCCGGGGATTATGTTGTCACCGCAGACTGTGGGTCGAACCTTTGCCTCACATTCCAGCAGGAGTGAACCCAGGCTTCCCCTGGAGGCCGCCGAACCATGCCAGCGCAGGGCAGGAGCCCCCTCTGGCCTCACGGGGAGGTGTTTTGGTGGTCTCCTTCCCAAGGGTCTCCAGGAGGACACAACTCATCCCACACCCACTGATTCCAGGTTCCTCTGGCCCCTGGGCTCATACTTCTTCTGTGCACCTTCACTGATGTCCATGGGGTCATATTGGCCCCACCTTAGGTCTGCCCTGGCCTGTGGACATGGGCCCTATTTCTGCCCATTAGGTCCCTCTGATTTGCTTGATGCTTTCTAAACAGTGCCCAGCCAAGCATGCCTCACCCACCGTGTGCGCAGCTGCAGACAAGGGCGTTCGCTGCACTGGCGTCCCCCGGTGACTGCGGTTATCCCAGAGGACAATCTGGCCTGAGTAGGTGCCGCCCACCACCAGGTTGGGATGGAAGCGCGCCAGACAGACGGACATCACTGAGGACTGTGGAGAACAGAGCAGAGAGGATGCGGTACACGCAAGAAGATAATATTGCTAATTAATAATAACGGTAATCGTGATTATTACTATAACAACTAGCATTATAGGATGTCCTAAGGTTTGCAAAATGCCCTCAAAAGATGAGCTCATTTGGTCCTCAAGACAACCCCGGGAGCTCTGCAGGCCACTCCCTCCTTGCTTTGATAAATGAGCCAATATTTTCAAGGAGCTTTGCAAACCATGTAGCCCTGTGTGCTTGAGGTATCATGATTATTATTGCCCCAATTTTACAGATGAGGAAACTGAAGGGGAGACACCCAGGGTCACCCGGCTAGATTCCTAGCTCAGGTCTTCCTTGCCGGTGCCCAAAGAGATGCTTGGGGCATCGCGCCAAGTCCCAGGGCACCTGGGAGCCTAAGCCTGATCTTTTTTTATTTTTTAAAATTAATATATTTTGATTTATCAACAACCACTTCCATATGCTTTTGAGTTTAAAATTTTTCTCCCTCCCCAAGATGGCACACAATCTGATATAGACTATACATATACATTCCTCTTAAACATATTTTCACATTAGTCATGTTGTAAGGAAGAATTAGAACCAATAGAAGGAACCACAAGAAAGAGGAAACAAAACTCAACAGAAGAAAAAAAAGCAAATAGTCTACTTCAATCTGCATTCAAGCTCAATAGTTCTTCCTCAGGATGTGGACAGCATTTTCCATCATGAGGCCTTTGGAGACGTCTTAGACCATTGCATTGCTGAGAAGGGCTATGTCTATCAACGTTAGTCATCGCACAACTTGGCTGTTACCGTGTACAACATTCTCCTGGTTCTGCTCACTTCACTCAGCATCAGACCATACAAGTCTTTCCAGGTTTTTCTGAAGTCTGTCATTTCTTATAGCACAATAGTATTCCATCACATTCATATACCACAACTTGTTCAGCCATTCCCCAATTGATGGGCATTTTCTCAATTTCCAATTCTTGGCCACCACAAAAAGAGATGCTGTAAATATTTTTGTACATGTGGGTCCTTTTCCCATTTTTATGATCTCTTTGGGATACAGCCCTAGAAGTGCTATTGCTGGGTCAAAGGGTATGCACATTTTTATAGCCCTGTGGGCATAGTTCCAAATTGCTCTCCAAAATGGTTGGCTCCAAGGGGCAGCTAGGTGGCACGGTGGATAGAGCACCGGCCCTGGAGTCAGGAGGACCTGAGTTCAAATCTGGCCTCAGACCAAACACTTGACACTTACTAGCTGTGTGACTCTGGGCAAGTCACTTAACCCCCAATTGCCTAAAAAAACCCCAAAAAAACCAAAACCAAACAAACAAAATGGTTGGATCCCTGAGCCCGGTCTTTCTGAAAAAATGGGGCTTCTCACAAAACCAGAGACTTCCCATCAGAGTCAGAGGGGACCACCATGGCCTTCTCCTCTTTAACCTTTACTGAGCACCCACTATGTGCATGAAACGGACTGGATTGGGAGCTGGGACTATAGAAACAAGGACTTGCTTGCCCCTGCCCTCAGGAAGTCTCCACTCGCCTGGGAAACTAGACACGGAGTCAAAGGACCTCATTTAGGTGCCTGTCACCACCACAGCTGACCTGTCACGATGAGGGAGCCCAGCCTCCTCTTCTTTGTGGGTGCACAGAAGGCAATCAGCTTCAGCCCCTGCTAGGTGAAACAAGAGAGGGAGGCTTCCCCCAACCTGCCTGAGCACTGCCTTCACCACCCAGCAGACCAGCCTCTGCTGGAGCCCTCCAGGCAGGAGGGAAGCCCCTTCCACTCTGGGATAGCTCCCCCTGCGCTCCAGCCTTATCGGCTCCTCTCCCTGACCCCACCTTGCTTCTGGTTCTTCCCCTTGGGGTCCAAAAGGACTAATCTGACCCCTCCCCCTCACATGATGCAGTCCCTTCATACACTTGAGCCCAGCTAGCTTCTGTCCCAGTCCTCTCCAGTCTTCAACTGATCCTTCTGCAGAATGGACCCCAGGCTGCCCTTCCCCAGCTCATCCAACTTTGGGGAAACTGAATCTGCCTGTGTGGTATCTGAGCCTCGGCCACGTGCATCCACACCCACTTCTGCCAGCCCAGAGCTAACCCACCAAGCAGGCTCCCCACCTTCCCCATCTATTTCAGGAAGAGTCAGCTGGGTTCTTTTTCCCAACCAATGAGGAGGTTCATCCCACAGAGCTGGGAGGGGTGGAGGCCAGACTGCCAGGGTCTTTCCTCACTCTCTGCACACTCTTCATGCAATCCAAGCCAGCCCCTAACTGCCTTCAAGTGGCTGGTAAAGCTGGTTCTAATTTTTCAGAGTTACTCCAGGCCAGCTAAGGGAAGGCGTATCCTGGAACCACAGAGGGAGGCCACTGGGCTTGGAAGCCAGCCCTTATGCCCACATCTAGCCCTGGTGCTGGGGCCATGGCTGGTGTGGATGGCAGGCTCTCCATGGGGCTGGTTAGGGCTAGGCAGGGAGCCATGGGGTCCAGCCCTGGAGCCAGGTCCCCTGGGGAGAGATCGTCCCCCTGAGCAAAGCCAGCAGCGCCTGATGGTGGCGGGGCAGGGGCTTGTGCTTCCAGCCAGCACAGACATTTCAGCCGGGGCTTTGGAAAGAGGCCATTGTCAGCAACTCGCTCCCAGCCATAGGTGAAGACACCACTGAGGGGACAGCCACGCTGGGCATCTCCCTGTCCCCTTCCAGGGGAGGAGAAGCAAGAAGCTGATTTTTTTCTGCTAATACGTCTCTTGACCCTCTCTCCTATCCCAGAACACAGACTGGCTAGTAACTTCTCTGGGTGTTTCGGTAGAATTATCATTAGAGTTTGCACAGAACATTCTGCTGTGATCTGAAAATGAGGGAGTGCTGTGCAAAAGAGCACGCAGGGAGGGAGGGACAGCTGCCTTTAGGCCCTGGAACAATGGGATGGTGGCCCATGAGCCTGTGGGTGCAGTGGAGGCAGAGTTCCCTGGCTACACTTTCCCACATTTCTTTAAATCACTTACATGCAGGCTGTGCACCCAGAGCCTCCTGTACACCCCAAGCCTGGAGCTCAAGGGGCAGAGTTCAAATTCTTATGGTCAGACCTCCCCCAAGCTCCTCCCAGAGGGAGCTGGCAAATGTCCTCAATGCCCCTGCCCTCACGAAGTCCTGGAGAGCCAACCAATCAATTAAAAGTACGTATCGTAGGAGAGTAGGAGACGTAGCAGGAAAACACTTCCTTTGTTCTAGGCACTGTGCTAGGTGCTAGAGATAGAAAGAAAAGTAAAACAGCCCCTGTCCTCAGGAAACTTGTGTGATACAAGGGAAGGAGACACACACGGACATAACCTCTTAGAGAACAAAAACAAAGTGTGTTCCTTGTGGTGTGGGAGGGGCGGGGTGAGGTCCTTGATCTAGGTCTGGAGGGAAGAGAAGGCCTCTGTGAGGTGGAGCTAAGGAGGGTACACTACAAGCATGGGGAATGGCCAGGGCAAGGTAGGGAGGGCTGCATTGTGCATGAGACCCAGAGAAAACCTGAGAGACAGGTAGAGTCATATCTAACGAGGCCACACAGAGAGCAGTGAAAGCCAGGCCAAGAGGCTTACAGGTCATCCTAGAGGCAACAGCAAGTCACAAAGTTTATTAAGTAGGGCAGTGACATGGTCAGATCTCACTGGAATGAGACCTCCTCAGTACCACCTCACACCTGCAGATTGGCTAATATGATGGAAAAGGAAAATGATAAATGTTGGAGGGATGTGGGAAAACTGGGATACTGATGCATTGTTGGTGGAGTTGTGAACTGATTCATCCACTCTGGAGAGCAATTTGGAACTATGCCCAAAGGGTTATAAAACCATGCATACCCTCTGACTCAGCAATAGCACTTCTAGGTCTGTGTCCTAAAGAGATCACCAAAAAGGGAAAAGGATCCATATGCACAAAATATGCATAGTAGGTTATTATGTGGTGGAAAAGAATTTGAAATTGAGGGGATGCCCATCAGTTGGGGAATGGCTGAACAAGTTGTGCTATATGAATGTAATGGAATACTGTTCTGCTTTAAGAAATGATGAGCAGAATGGCCTCAGAAACGTGGAAAGACTTGTTTGGACTGATGCTGAGTGAGGTGAGCAGAACCAGGAGAACACTGTATACAGTAACAGCAACACTGTACATTGATCAGCTGTGAATGACTTAGCTCTTCTTAGCAATGCAAAGATCCAAGACAATTCCAAAGGACTTAGGATGAAAAATGCTCTTCATTTCCAGAGAAAGAGTGATGGGGTCTGAATGCAGACTGAAGCATACTATTTTCTTAAATAATATTTTATTTTCCCCCAATTACATGCAAAAACAATTTTTAACATTTTTTTTTCAAAAAAAGTTTTTAGTTCCAAATTCTATCCCTTCTCTTCTTCCCCGTTCTCTCCAATGGCAAGCAATCTGATACAGGTTATACACATGCAATTGTGTAAAATATTTCCATATTTGTGCAAGAAGATGTGAACAAAAAAAAGAAAAGAATGGGAAAAATAATAGAAGCATACTATTTTTACTTTATTTTTCTTGGTTTTTTTTTTTTGGTCGGTGTTTTCTTTCACAACACAGCTAATATGGAGATATGTTTTGCATGACGACACACATACAATCTATGCCTAATTACTTGCTGCTTCAAGAAGGGGGAGGGCAAGGAAGGAAAGAATTTGGAACTCAAAAAAAAAACTAGTGTTAAAATGGTTTTTACATGGAATTAGAAAAAAAAAGATTTAAAAATTTTTAAAAAGAAGGTAAGCTCCTTGAGGAAAGGTATTTGTATCTTCCAGGGCCCCATACAGGAGGCACTTAATAAGTGCTTGTAGACTGTTCTGTCCTTAAGGAAAATCGATTTGGAAACTGTGTGGAGGATTGTTTAGAGTGGGGGTAAACTCAGGATACAGGGCAAATAAAAGACACCATGTGCCAGGCACTGGGCTAAATGCAGGAGACCCAGAGAGGCAAAAGACAGTCCCT